TTAAAAAAAAAAAAAAGTTCGATAACCTTACTGATGTTTTCCCAATTGCACTACTAGTTATGAAACTTGTATTATTCTTTCTCACTATGATTGTGGATTTTTCTAGTTGTCCATTTATTCTGATTTTTAATCTCTTGTTTTATGTCTTTTGGTGCATATAAATAAGGGACTATGATGCAATGTATTAGACTGATTTTTTTCTGAATAAATTGTTCCTCTTTATATATATGAATGGCCATTGTCTTAAATTCTACCTTATCTGCTATTAAAAAAAATTACAACTTCCTTATAGATGCAATCCACATTCAATGCTTTTCGAATTTTCTTAAAGCCACCTTTTTCTCTTTGTACAGTCAATAGTGGCCTTATAGTACCATCGCTAAATACTGTAAGTACACTTTCTTCTCAGTCTCCATGTTCTTGGCTGATCTTATCCCTTTTACAATTGTCACTGCAGTCTAAGTGATAAGGACACCCAATTCTACATATCTAGGCCAGACTGCTCTCCGATCCTATAGACGTTCATCCAGTTCTCTAGTGAAACTCATCTCCTGAATGTACCTATGATACCTCCATCTAAACAGGTCCAAATTTTTTTGCACTGTTAAGTACAAGCTTACCTGCGCCAGGCTTCCTGCTCCGTGATGCTCATGTGCAGTGCTGGCTCTGGCCACAAGGTGGCCCTCTATCCTACTTTTTAAGTGTTTCCAGTACACATCTAAATATTGTTGAAAGAAAAACATAGTTGTCATACTTTAAGACAATTTAAGCATATTAACTACCGCACGACACCTATTTGCCTTTTAAAATGTTTGTGGGTCAAAAACACTAAAGAAACCTACGTGGCACATTTTTCTTCCATGAAATATGTGTCTGTACAGCACATGTACATCTTCCCGTTGCTGAGAGGTGTCTTAATTTTCTACTGGATACTTTTTCTCTGTGTGTTTACTTCTGCCTTTTCTTAGGCCTGTTTCCTCCCAATTTCATCGTTTTCACAACTTGGATTTATTGCGATGATCTCTCAAGTCCTCAATATCAGGAATGCCATTTATTTTTCCCTTTAATTTTTTTTTTAAGTTCCCACCTGCCTGGTTTTCTCCATTATGCCCAGTTTTATTCAGTGGGAAGGAAAATAATGGTGCTTTTTAAAAGAAACAATCACATTAGGATTTGCCAATACTTACTAAACTATCTAGAACATTATTTTTAAATTATATTTATTTTTTCCTGACTTATTTCACTAATTATGTATTCTTTCCAGTTCCATCCATGTTGCCGCAAATGGCATGAATTAATCTTTTTGATTGCTAAGCATTATTCCATGGCATATATGTACCACATCTTCTTGATCCAGGATGGGAAGAGCACACCAGACTATGGTGAGGGCACATGGGTGAAGTGGTGATGGGAAGTCCACAGGAATTACAACTGAGATGAAAAACTGTACAAAATGAAGAAAGATGTATGTGTGTATATATATTATATATTACATATAATAAAAATAAAATAAGATATTTTAAATATTAATATAAATCATATTATATATAATAAAATAAAATAAAAAATAAATATTACGTTTAAGAAAAGATGTGTTGTCTTCAGCTGTCTGATCATTTTGTTAATGGATGATTTACTTTATTGAGAGGCTGAAGGCACTAATTTTGGAGGTCAACAATTTTGGCCAGATCCTGGCTTTGTAACTCACTAGCTATACAACCTCAGGTAGTTTAGTTAGCCACTATGTACCTCAGTTTCCACCTATATAAAGTGGAACTATAACTGTCATAGTTGTTGTGTTGTTGTTTTTGAGAAACCTGTGGATTAGTAGCTTAGTAGCTGTAAATAACTTAGACTGCTGTCTAGACTGTGGTACACATGAAAAGTATGCTATGACATTGCTATTATTGTCATTGTTTTCTTCATATTCCAAATTAATATCATTATATTTAGAACTCTTCAGTGGAAATAAGATTGGAATGATAGAAAAAATTAAAACATAAAAACTGGCATTGAAGTACATAACAGAAAAGTCACCTTTAATTACATTCCATTCCCAAGTGTTATCAGTGAATTCCCTTTCATCTTTTTCTATTTGCATATGCACATTCACTTATGTATTTATACACTTTCTTGAAGTTTACAGCACTGTAACATACACTATTGATTCAGGAACAATTTTTTAAAAGATTTATTTATTTATGCATACAGAACTGGGGTACAGGCCAGAGGTGCAGAGGCAGTGAGCGGATTCACCAGAGACAGAGTGGGGAGCAGAACAGTCAGATCTATGAAGTACACTGCTGAGGGGAGCAGTATATTCAAGTTGTCAAATAAGTAGAGTTGCATCGATAGATATTCTCTATATTCAAAATTTTTATTGGCAAATTTGTGGCTTTTATGGAAGTCTGACTAAAGTTGAAAGGTAACTAGTAACTATTGAGGATAGATATTGCACTTTCTGCCAGCCTTGTGCTTTGAGCCAAGTGTTATTTAGAACTCCCAACAGTCAATGCTATGAGTTGGACCCTATTATTCTCTTTCAAATGAGGAACTAGGGCTCACAGTGTGTCTCTCACAACTGATGGTTCTGTTGGCTGCAGACTCCTGGCAAATTCCACCGCTTAGTCTTTGGAGTCAAACATTAGCTTTTTCCCTTTCATTTTGAACTTTTTCCTCCCATGAAATCCCAATGTGATTATAAAAATATCTTGCACTTATTAAAAAAAAAAAAGATTTATTTGTGCATACAGAACTGAGGTACAAGCCAGAGGTGCAGGGGCAGCGAGAGGATACACCAGAGACAGAGTGGGGAGCAGAACAGGTAGCTCCGCAAAGCACATTGCTGAGGGGAGCAGCAGGAGGGTCAGGAGAGGTCTGCCACGCCATGTGGGTCACCTCCGGGCGGGCAGGCGTGGCGGGATTCGAACTCATGCAGAAGTGGCTTTAGCTTCTTAGCGCTGTGCTTTCATCCGCTGCGCCACCTGGGAGGGCCATATCTTGCACTTTTAAAACACTTACCATATGCTAGGCACTATTCTCAACATTGTACATGTATTAACTCATTTAACTAAAATAGCTTTGTCTTCACCTTTTCCAACAATTAAAAAATGTTACTCTAAAAAAAGGAATATAAAAGTATATTAAAAGAATAAAGTAAAAACTGCATTCGAAAATCTCACTACTGTCGCAGGCTCTTTTTTCCCCAAGAACCTGGTGCCAAACCAACTCTCCAGGACAGCCAATGACCAGATTGCAGATGAAATGGAGGCTGCAGGAGAGACGACGAGGAAAGGAGCTCATGATTCTGGGAATGGAAAGCAGGAAGACTATTCTGGAAAGATTTGAAGTAGAAAAGTTCAGTAGCTCCAGGGAAAGATGCAGCCCCCTCCCTAGTAATGAGAGAAGGGCAAATCTCTTTTTCCGCTCTGGGACAGGGAACAACAAAAAAGACTGACAGGGGCAAAAGTATAAGGGAGGAGGGGAGTGGATCGAGGAAGCGGGGCGCGAGGGCGGGTCCACTTCTGCCGCGCTTTTGGTGGGAGTGGAACCGGGGATCCGAGCTCAATGGTGACGTAGCCCTCACGTGACCAGGAGTCGACGTGTGCAGAAGTCCTGCTAGTCTGGTCCTTGTTCCCGTCTGGGTACCAGCTTCCTTCAGCGGTGCAGACGGCGGCGCTTCCCCCGGCCAGGCTAAGAAGGAGGCAGTTTGCTGAAATTTTGCAGGTCGGTTTCAGAGTAAGTGCCGCCTAGGGATTTCCAGGGTAGAGGGTCGCCTAGGGCAGGGACTTTGGAGTCCAGGTCAAAGTCCATCTCTGCACGTCCCACCTCCAGGTTTTCTGGAAATGACCTCCGGGGACGAGGCTAGGGGGTTCCCGGAGAAGGACGAGAAAACCTGTGATCGTTTAAAAACAATCATCCTCCGTCACTTCAGACCGCTCTCCCAACACCCTTCTCCCTCACCCCTGCCTCAGTCTTAAAAATAGTTTGGAAAAGATCTGCTTTTTCTGCTACCTGGCTGATGGAAAATTTGGGCTAACTTGCACAGTGAAGAGGGAGAGGAGTGGGGTAAACTGAGGGTGGGAAGGAAGGTTTCCATAACCGAGAACCTTTATGGGGAGGAAGGTACTTGGTGCAGG